CCAAAAATTCCCATTAGAAAATCCGCAATTAGTGATGATCATTAGTAACCCTAACTATATGATTTTAATAGGCCGTTCACACCCTAGCTGAACATGTTTACTTAATACATACGCCTGGGTTATTTAGACAGTTTTTGAGAAATAGCAACTGTGGTGTTAAACACCACTGGTGTGATTTAACAACACTGAAAGTAAATATTTAAAAAGCATGATTTACAGGTTTTTCTGTCTGTCATTCATTTATGATGGTGATAATTTGTATCCCATAGATTTTATCCAGCATACGTACGTACGTATATACAGTGCAAGAAATCTAAAAACCACAATTATAACTTTATTACGCGTTATATTACATCAAATAATTCGCCAAGTAGGCAGCACATTGAAATTAAATATTTCTTAAATTACTGACTTCGATAAAATTTTTGCGCACACACTTTATAATATTTGATTTCAACATATATATCACTTGTTTATGCTTTGTCTCTATAGGGGGTGATTGCGGTTTTTAGGTTACTTGCACCGTACGTACGTACGTACGGTGCGGAAAATTTAAAAACCTTAATCTCCATGTTAAGGTGGTGCATAAACTAGTGGTTCATTGGAAATTGGAAATAAATTATCAATCTCAATAAAGTGATGGGCATAGAAATAATACGCCAAGAATAATATACACTTAATTGGAGCTGTTTTATGCATACGGCTGAAACTTAAAATAAGCCGCTATTTAATTTAGCTTATCTTGCGCTGGTCGTTTTTTGTTCTATATAAAGTGATTAAGGTTTTTAGATTGCACTGTACGTACGTACGTACGTACGATGCGAGAAATTTAAAAATCTCAATCTCTATATGGAGACAATGCATAATCCAGTAGTATATTGAAGATAGATAAATTTCTTAAATTATTAATCTTAATACCGTAATAAAGTAAGGGATCTAGACCGCTACTGAATTGGTTTATCTTCGATGAGTTAGTTGATATTAATTCTATATAAAGTGATTGAGGCTTTTAGATTTCCTGCATTACAAACCTTATTGATGTTAATAATTTAGGAAATAGTTGATGTAAATATATTTATATTCTGTTTCTATAAGATATAATTGTGTAATAGTTTACCTGATATTATGATTATTGATAAGACCACAAGTACAACTAGATTGATGATAACGTTTCACAATAAAGAATCCTTAATGCATAAAGAAATGATTATTATTGTCAAATTCAAAACATTGAATCTAAACTTTTCATTTAATATTAGAGGCTTTCATAATAATGATTTGGCATCCGATTTCAGATAAAATAAGTGACTTATTTACTTCAAAATATGTGATACATAAAGCCTATTTTTTTTAATGTATAGACTTATTTACATAATTATTTACCGGTAAATATTTATAAAAAAAAGCTAATTTTTAATTCACTATGTCTAAATTTTAAAAATAGAATAGGATCTTTTAAACTCTCACTTATTTTCAGAATATTAATTGTATGAAACCCCCTATTTTCACAATATATTAATTAGGAAGCCCCTATTGTATGCATCTTTCTACTCTGAGCTATCTCATCTTGCGGTTCACACACATCTTTTTTCTCCTCACATTCATTAAATCAACATGGATCCTCATATGTATTTCATATGTTATTTATAGATTTCAAAATAATAAATAGGGGATTTCATAATTAATATTTTTTGAAAATAAGTGGGCGTTTAAAAGATCCTATTCTATTTTTAAATTCTGACACAGTGAATTAAATAGACACACACGTTAATAAAATTGGCTTTTTTTGATAAATATTTACCGGTAAATGATAATGCAACTAAGTCTACATGTTAAAAAAAAATAGGATTTAGGTATCACATATTTTGAAGTAAATACATCACTTATTTTATCTGAAATCGGATACCAAATTATTTATTATGAAAACCCTAATATAGAAAGATATTATAACAACTTCTACTAAACTCGTTATTCCTAACAATATTGAAATGTATATTATAAATATGTATTGTTTAAAAAATAAACCATATTGTATATATTTTAAAATCCTCTGTGTCTACTATCATTAATAAAAATTAATAAAAACAATAAATTCTTATCAAGTTGGTACTTTTAAACAATTTCCCATTTTTCATTACATTGTCATAATTAAACCACGTGCAGTAAGAAGTTTAAGCAGCTATATGATAAGCTACGTAATTTGTGGAATAAGCTCAAAGACCGGCTTAAAAAGGAACCGGCACATAAGAAATTTTTTTGTTTTATAGGATGCTGCACTGTAATATTCTTTACTTTGGAAATTGTTTCAAGTTTCTTCATCACTATAAAATATATTAATAATGACACTAGTAGTCTGTACAGTGTTAAATTGTTGCGTATACTTTTGACTATATTCATTTTACAATTATTTATTTTATTTCTATATGGGTTACAGTAAGTTTTCTTTTAAATATTATATAAATTCAAATTTTATTCTGAACGTTTTATTTATTATATAGATTAAAAACGTGCAATTTCAAGATACAATAATTTTTTCAGGGACTTCTGTTCCAATCATGCTTTTTTTATTTATTACCATAACTAATATTAATAAAAATTATAATATTACTATACTATTTTTTATTGGTTTGGTTATCTGTTCTGGCGTTCTGTTTTTAACAAGTTTTTTATTAGTTGTATAGGGTAGGTATATATTATAATTAAACTATAAACCAACAGAATACTAGTGATATTTATACGCTAATTACGGTTACAGATCTTGTAAATGTTGCCAATGTTTTAAATGCGCTGAAGATTGTAAAGTTTTGATTATAAACTAAAGAAAATTAAATTTCTTGATTCATGGAAATTTAAATAATATTTTTTTGCTAATAAAATTACTATCAGATTCCCAAAAACTATTTCTAAGATTCCAATGTCAAAAAATTATGGCTCATGCACAAGCTATTCATAGTTCATTCTTTGGATTTGTGTGGACTTTTCAATTTACATATACAACCAATGAATTATCACATAATCATAGTGAAAATTATAATAAATTATCATATGAAAATTTAAAACAACAAATTCCTGAATATCTTGCGTCTCTTGCTTCTTTTCCATGGTATTTTGGAATACCACCATTAATTTCATACACAATGATTAAAGTGGTATTTATTCATATTATATATGTAGATGTTGTGCATTAAATTAATATTTGCGCCAGATTAAAATAATTATATTTATTCTAATTTTATCTAATCCTATTAAAATTTTGTATTTGAATTTTGATCTGGCTCAAATTTTAATCTGACTTACAACTTATATATTTGATTAATGCTATGCGGTTGATCTTGATAATTTTTATAGATTCATTCAAATTCTTGCACGGTGGGATTCTACGTAGCTAATTTAGCTTTAAGTGCATTTTATCTCGTTGGATGTTGGGAACTTTCTAGGCATGATATTTCAATATTAAGCTGGGAAGGTTAGTGATTAAACTAATTATATTATCGTTTAAGCTAAGTTTCAAACCTTTCTCAAACTATGTAGATACCAAGAGACCTTTTTTAAAAAATACTTAAGCAAACTACAATATTTATTTTTCATTGAGGATTAATATTAACTAGTTATTTTATTTAATTTTTTTTATAAAATCTAGTTCTCGTGATATCACCCTTGCTTCTTATAGTATTATTTTCATTCACTAGTACTATCTGTTGTCAATGGGTTTATTATAAAGAATCAGATACCACTAAGCGTAAGAAATGTAGGTATATGTTGTTACATCTATGTATTATTTCAAATTTGTTGATTAGTATATATAATTTTATTAGTGTTGTTAAGAATCGAGCGAAGTTTATCCGAAAAAGAAACTTATAATGAGGGTAAAAAGAAAGATTTTAAGCCGTATGAACCGTTTAAACCAGCCTGTTAAATGCATGTTGATTTCGAAATTTCACCTTATATAATTTTTTTGTATAATTTATTAGATATGATATTGATTTATGAGGCGAATGCTAAGATGAGATAAAATAAAGTGGTGTCCCTTATACTGTAAACAAATCAGGCAAATTTGCCTCTATTTTTTAAAAATTAAAAGATTAAAAACTTTTTTAATAATACTTGAAAATAAGAATTATATTATAGTGATATTTAATTTTATATTATAAAAAATTAAATTGTTTATAAATTAAAAAATTATAATTAAAATAACTCAT